ACCAAACCACTTTCAAGACAAAAGACAGACTACTTAAGAGACAAGATCGGTCTATCTGATGTTAGCCCATTCTTGCGGGGGCGTATCAAGGAGAATAAAGAAGTCAAACAAGTAACAACTCAAGCCCAGCTGCCACAGTAAACATAGCCAGAATCTGTGCCTCCCATGATTTCAGATTCAGTTTTTATCCCAGTAAATATTGCCATGATTCTAGGTTCAATTTTTTATTTTTGTAAATATTTCAATTTATGGCCTTGTAAATTTCCTAAATTTTCTCTTCAGTTACGTCTATTGTATGCCTAAAATTAGGCTTCTTTTACTGTATAAAAATACTGAGAATGAATAGAAATTGTGTGTTCAGAATTTTCCAAAAACCTGTAGCAGCGTTCTTCCCATTTTACTGAAATGACCTTCCCCTACCTTTTCACTGTTGTTGTGCTCGAAGATATGGACTCCTCAGGTATGTAGTGCTCAAGGATAAGCAGTAATGTGGTGTCAACATTCTGCGATATGTCTCCTCGGGATAGGTTGTCCTCGGGCATGATAGTCTCTTAGCAGCCCCCCTAGCTGTTATTGACCTAATAGGACTCCAATGCACTTGGGACTTTAACCCTACCCTAATACTTCAACACTTGACCCCCACAAGGACTCCATCTTAAACAGGTCACTACAATCTAATTGTAGTATTAGTCTAACTCATTTGTCCAACAGGACTCTATTGGATAAGAACATTCACTCAATCCAAATTCTACTAGGGGTGTACTACATACCCCAATAAATAAAATATAAATACAAAGCATTGGATCATTGCCTAGGTATGTTTTTCATTATTTCTAGTTTCTAGCTTCACGCACAAATTTCCTTTCCGACTTAAGTATCGGAGGGGCGATGAAAACAAACATCGTTGCCTTTGTTTCAAGTACCGAAAAACTACGATCGTGCTTATTCACAATCCTCAAACTTGAGAAATCAGTAGGTGTAAATTTTTGGTAGCATCAACCACCAAATGCAAATAGTAGAATCCCAAATCATTTGTTTATAACATATAAAGACAAGAACTTTCCACTACTATTTTAAATGAGGATCATTGTGAATGAAATCTTTTACTTCCAGTAATATAGCATAAATCAATATCACAGTTGGTCATTCCACAAGACATTAACGAGCGAAAAATTAGTCCATGAGTACTTTAAAATGATATTAAGAATACGAGTTTCGACTTCATTTGATATTCCATAATGAACACGTCAAAATCGGTCGTGAAGGGGTCAAAAGAACTATTTAAAAAAAAAATGACACCAAAAATTTTGTAGGGGTCATTTGACCATCATGACCCATGTGGGTCTGCCCCTAGTTACGATTTCCAATAGTCCGGTCATGAATTTTGTTGGCCAAGTCATAAATTTCGTCAATTTTGGTGACAAATATAGACAAACCAGTCATGTTGAAATAAAAAAATTATTTGGGTGATCAAATTTTTACAGAATGAAGTTAGGTGACCAACGTAAAGCAAACATGTAAGTTGGGAGACCAATGTAGAAATTTTCTCTGTGAATTGGGTTTGGTCCAATTATAATTTGTTAACCATGGTTAGATATTTTCTATTTTTAAAATAGAGAACTTGGGCCCGGATGTGAGATCTAGATAATTTGGTGATCCTAACCATAGGATTCAAGCATCTATAGGCCCTGGAAGTAATTGGAAGTTTGTGAGCACTTTACACGTACAGAAGTTTCAGCTAAATTGCACCCATGGTTTTCAAAATTTGATCTAATTTGTACTTTGGTGCGCTTAATATTTATTTTTAACACTGAACTCCTCAATGTTCAACATAGATTTACACTCCGCATTATTGAAGTTGTAGGAGGTTTTGAATGATTTTTTAAATTGAAAACAGAAGGAAACGACTCTCACTTCATATTTTATGAATTCGAGCTAGGCATTTGAGGCAGAAACTCACCAACTTCTAATCGTAGTCATTATCATTATCACATGTGATTATGCAATTATACTTTCAAACGTCAAAATTTATATGAAGAAAAATTCGATAATATGCAAACTTGTTTCATCATGGGTTTCTTATTGGGGGTGAGGAGATAATATCGTGGCTCTTTTATTAAAAACTTTAGCTCGCAAATCCTCATCTAAATAAAAAATGATGAATCACATACTTTATTTTAATCTATATTACACATTACATATCGTAAATTTAGACAAAGTATGTTAATTTTAATTATAGTTAACATTTATGTGAATTTTACCCCACATGTTAATGTTTTCCCCCCGATTGTTGCTTGGTGTTGCTATCAATGACGTTATTGTCCTATTGTGTAATGGTGGAAATGAGATCAAAATAACGAATATAAAGGTTTCAATATGGATGGAAACATTGTTCCATTATAATGCACATACAATAAGTGTTAGTGTAACTGCACGTGCACAATGTCAAAGACAAACTTTAATAATAGATTTGAGTTCAATGTTGATTTCACAAGGATTATGTATTTATATTTGATAGTTATTTCAAACTCTAATGGGGAAAATTAAATGCATGAATTGTGATTTATTGTATGTTTGGTCCTGCTCTAAACTTAGCTTTTTCCGATTTTTCAGGGCAGCGTGCAAGTGCATTCCTATTTCAGAAAGCATGTTTTCTATATAATATTAAGGCCCTGTTTGGGAGTGATTTTTCACCTCCATAAGTTAATTTTTTAACCGTTATTTTATTTCAGCCGTAATTTTTGACTTTTTTTCTCACAGATGTTGTCCACTTTGTTTTTAACGGTCAAAAAATCAATTCTCAAAATCATTACAGAACAGGCCCTAAACATATAAACTAAATTTTTTGTCCTGCTTGAAAGTTCTTTTTTGGGCTTTTCAGAGGAGATTGCAAGAGCATACCTATCTAAAAAAAGCATGTAATGAATACCATTACATGTGATTATTGCAGTTTGATCCTATTTTAAACCTACTTTTTTTTTTTTTTTTTTACTTTTTCAGAACAATGTGTAAATGCATACCTATTAAAAAATGCATGTTTATTGCATAGCATTAAAGGCGATTATTTATAGGTTTGATCCCACTTTAAGGCCCATCTTCTCTGAGTTTTCAGAGCAGTACGCAAAAGCATACACATTCAAAAATGGAAAAGTTTTAATTTTGAAATATGGAGTATTCATAACTCTGTCACTCTTTAATTGAAAGGTGTATAAATACATGAATCTCACTATCTAATTAAAAAAGAAACATGCGTATGTCGATTTAATAATAACATGGAGTACTATAATGCAAACTTGATTTATACATATAACTCACCTCTCTACTTGTTATCCTTCACAAATCAATGATTTAGTCATCAAGTAATTTAAAATAGTGAACAATATAATTAAAAACAATACTTAAATTTCAATTGAAGATCAAAACTTCATAATCGAAATCTACACATTTTATCAACTTTAATCAAATCTACTAAAAATTTTATTTTAACCCCCATCATATAGAGTTTAGATCCAAAATTAGATTACAATCATTCATCACAATTAATTATTTAATTACACACCACAGGAGAAGGAAAGCAAAATAAAGATTTGAAATGAAAATTACGATAAAGTAACATTATCACATGTTTTTTTCCCACCTCTTCTGTTTTAACTATCGAAAATGATGAATTGACCAATGAAAGTGGTCAATTTCGTTTAATTCAACATCAACCTTGTTAAAAGAGGGGGTGGAGGTGCGGGGGCGGGGGAAGATAAAAAATGACAAGACAAGAAACGAAAAATAAATTAAAAGAGATCTTAAAATAAACGAAAAAAAAAAATTAGTATCAACATCCGAACGCTATATAGGTACAATCACTACCCTCCACGCTTTGCAAAAGTCCTTTTACCGCATTCATAAATAATTTTGTTGATATGGCTAAATTATATCTTTTACCAAAGTAGATGCTGAAAGGGACAAATACCACGAAAATAATTTCATCAGCCAACTCATCATTCTCATTAATTGGAATAATAAAGACAAACGAAGGTCAAGTTGTTAAATGAAGGACTAAGCATTTACTTTTTTAAAGTTTAGGGGCCTTCTGCACGTAGGGTGTATAATTTAGGGCCAACTAGGTTCTTGAGGTTGTGAAATGGCCATGTAAACTATCCTCTTCACAAACTCACCATTAGTTGGAATGGCAAAATTGGCGAGGAAAATAAGCCGTCGTTTGGCAATCATTAATTAAAAATACCTTTTATTATACACTTATTTTTAACACTTTCACACAATAAATATTCTGTATGTAAATTCAATTTTTTTTTTTCTAATTTTTAATTATGCATTCTCCTAAAAGTCACTATTCAAATCACTATTTTTTTTTTTTTAAATAATAGTTGTCAAATTGGAGCTAATAAGATTCCCGATGTTAAATTGAAGGACTAGTGTAATAAAAATAAAAATTTATTTACAGTCTGTTTGGAAGTGATTTTTTTACCAAAAAATTAATTTTTTTGACCGTTATTTCACTATTTCAGCCATCATATTTGACTTCTTCTCTCACGGGTGGACCCCACTTTTCTCGTAACGGTCAAAAAACCAATTATCAAAATCACTCTCAAACATACTCTCATTTTATTCACTCATAGTTTAAAATAAGGGACCCGCGGGTTTATTTACCCCATGGCCCATGCTTTAGAGAGATGCTACTTTGGCTTCTCCTTGACATTAGGGGCACCAAGTAATTATTCTTAGAAAAATTGTACTTGTACATAATTATTGTACATAATTGTGTTCATAATGTGATGTGACAATCATCCGATTGTTGATGTGTAAGTGCAAGATTTGAATTACAGGTTGGCTTCAATGACACGTGTAATTATGGATATCATTATTTAGATAATTATATACATGTAGCACTTTCCTTATTCTTATATACGTATAAAAAATTCCATGTATCAGATAATCATATTTGTTTAGTCATTCTTTATCTTCTTCTTAACTAATGCCTAATTGATTAACAAAAAGATTCTGTATTCGCATTACGCAATTAGGGTTAGGGTTGGATTAGGGTTAGGGTTAGGGTTAGGGTTAGGGTTGAACTCGTTTGTTTCGATGGGAATTTCAGCCAGATTATTCCTGATCCACGAACCTCATTTTTTTCCCCAATTTTGTGGCTTCGAGAATTCTTTGTAACTGAGATACATTGCTTTGGTAGAATGATTTTGACTAAAATATATTCTAGGAATACTTTAGTTATAGACTAAAGAGACCGTACTCATCAAATTTTTTTCTTCCCAAAAATAAAATATCTATTTTCTTGGCTGATTTTTTGGGATGAATTTTTTAGATGCGGTTAACCCCTGCTCAAAATTTCATCTATGCTTTGTTAAGTAATGGGTGCACCGAAGCAGAAGTGGGCTCCAGAGGAAGAAGCAACTCTGAAGGCTGAGTCTTTAAACACGGGCTTTGGAAATGGCGGACGATTTTCAAAGACCCACAATTCAATCGTGTTTTGTGTCTGCGATCCAACATTGATCTGACGGTTAAAAGTCCTTCATTATACAGATGTTATGGGCAGCTGTTGAGCACGATGGTTTAATTGTGTAATGCATTGTGGGTTAGGATAAGTGGAGGAACATGACTATTTTGGGGAATGAATGGGGCTCCGGGGAGAAGACTAGTTTAGCAATTAAGATGATGGATCAAGCTCCTAAGCTTGGTGAGAGCTCTATTGGTAGATCAACGCAACGAGGAAATGGTTGACAGTGGGCCTCTTCTGGTATCCAACGGTTCTTCGCTAGCTGATGGTCTGAAAAGATCTATCATGGGGTTTCACATATTATGTACAAGTTCCCATCTCTCTTATGCTTCTCTTTGATTTGTCCAAGGTATCTTTACATTTATCACCCGAGTAAGAGATTCATGATTTAGACATAATTCATTTTGCTCATGTTCAGATGTTCCGTGTAGGTTACTAAAATTAGTTTGTGCGCCAAGGAATTCAATGGCAGATGATTCTCTGTTTCACGAAGGATTCTGGATCAGGGGCTGCTTACATGATTACTCACTATCTAGAGAAGACCATGTAACTTTCCTAGTTCCTTACAAATTCTACACAACTTTGTCATTTACAACTGTGTAATGTGATATGATTGTACAAGTTGTTTCACATATCTCCTTATGACGTGAAATTTTAGATCTACCCTTCTATTTGTTAAAATCTGGCCAAAGGCAATGAATTTTATTTTAGTGGTATCTTGTGTTCATATTTCAGAACCTCCTATGATTGGTGACAGATGACGATTATCATTTTTTTTCCTTGTTTAGGTTGGATATCCTATAGTAGTCTATAAACAATTTGGTGTTATTAACAAGACAACTATAGCTGCATGTATAAAGGTATTTCCTTTTCTATTCATCTATACAATCATATCAGATATTCACAATTTTTCTAGTCTAAAAGCTGTCTATCATGTCATGTTGTGCACTATGATTGATACTATCCTCACCCATCTGCAATACGTCGGCTATGTACTCCATTATGAGAAAGGCACCTCTAATGTTTATGACCCTTACATTGCTGAAATTCTTCATGAATTATAATTTCCTCCAAACACAATTTTCCAATATAGAAATGAACATGTTAACCAGATTAAATGAGAGAAAAATCTCATTGCACAAGATTTGGTTTTGTTGGTAGATGTGATTCTGCATAATGAATTAGCAAAAAAGTATTCATGCAAATAACCTCGAGTTTGTTGGGAATAAAACTCAGCTTGTTTTTGTTGTACCAAAAGAAACGAGAGTAATAATCAAGGTAACTTATTCCAAAAATTGAAGAAACTGCTGAGTCTCTTGGAATTCTTAGACTAGTGTAATAACTTATAAATAATTGCTTAAAGACATTCGTAAACAGCATTTATTCCTTTTAGACCATATTTGGCTAACCTTAAAGAAAAGAAGCCTTAAATTTAGAATACAGATAGGATTTTTTTGGAGAAGGAGATCGAGACCGCTCGAAAGCTACGGCACGGACATAATTCCATGAGGTTCACCAGAATTGGGTCGATCACGTTTATTAGAAGTGGACAATAGAGTGGTTGTACTAGAAAAAACGCATTTAAGTCCGAATACTCATAAGTCCAATAGCTTTGATAGTAATGGCTGGATTTAGACCATGTTTGGTTAACCTTAAAAAAAAACTTATAAGTACTAAGAGCTTATAAGTACAAAAATGTGTAAATTTCCACTTTTCCTTTTAAAGTCAACGCTTTTTTATTACCGTGCATAACAGGTAGTACTCTGCCATATATTTACTCTTCCAATCAATCTGTCCGCCGCAACCCTAAATCGTAAGCAGATTCAGAATAACGTCTCACCTTGCCTATCCATCTCCGTCTCCATAGCCAAAGGTATAGATCTATGACTGATTGATGCTTATTATTTATTCATTGTTTGAGAATGATTTATTGATGATTGGATTGATGGTTGTCATAAAATCTGCTGCCAGTTGATGGTGTCGAATCCTAAAGTATTGCATACACGTCTTCTCATAATTGATATTCTAGTTCATTATTGGTTGTTATTTTTTAGCCTTATTGTTTCTATTTTTGTAGGCTCAATATTGGGCATTTCCTTACTTCAAAAGGATATAATCCAAATTGAAGCATTTGGCTGCAATGCGGAAACTTATTAAGGTAAATTTTGTGTTTCAATCGCTACATACCTTGTACTGCCCGTGAAAATTTTGCTATGTTTTGAAGCTTTTTATAACTGAAGATTAGAAATTTCATTGCTCGACATTTATTTAGGGATTGCTCATCTTTTGCAGGTCAAAAACAAATTTAGACTAGCTAAAAAATCTAGAATGTCTCAGAAGAGGATGACCCCTTTTGTCAAAAACAAATTTATACTAGCTAAAAAATCTAGAATGTCTCAGAAGAGGATGACCTCTTCTGTCAAAAACAAATTTAGACTAGCTAAAAAATCTAGAATGTCTCAGAAGAGGATGACCCCTTCTGTTCTTCCGGAAGGAAGACAGGGGATTTCACCCAGAATTGATCTGGATGATATTAGTTCTCTCACAAAATCTCAGATTGATTTAGAGGTAGCCAAGATATTGAGCATGACTCCAGAAGAAGCTGCTGCAGCTGCAGCCAAAGCAGTTGCTGAAGCTGAAGCTGCAATGGTGGCAGCTGAAGAGGCAATGAAGGAAGCAGAGGAAGCTGAAGCTGAAGCAGTGGCTTTCGCAGCAGCTATCAAGACAATGAAAAAGTGAGATGATGGTAAGATGTTTAATAGGTTTTTTCTATTTTCACACGGACTTCTGCTTATTTGCTTTCAGTGAAGTTTTAAAGTATGCAAAAAATTTCAAGAACTTTACTTATGCACTGGGGATTTCTAACCCCTTGTTTTTCCATTTGCGTTGCGAAATCCAATGGTTAAAATGCATAGTGTTTTTGATTTAGGAGATTTTGGTTCACATCTTCTTCTCCTAATTACAGTGTTAACCTTGATAGAGAATGAGAAGTGAATATAATGATTAGTGGTTGATGTTCTGTTCCCATTTCTGCTTCCTCGTTAAGTAGTTCCCAGTTCGAAAGATGAAGTTGTTAAGGAACGAGCCTATCTCTATCGTAAAGAGAACTTAAATTTTTTAACAACCAAATCCACCTTCCAAAAGGCTTTTTTATCTGAGTGTTGGCAAGACAACCCCTCCACATCATGTCCATTGCCATCTGCTCTTCAACACTGATGTGATGTGCAGTCCTACATATATTTCTTTTAAATGGATATTTGTAGGAAGTATGCATGTATTCATGTATTAATTTTGTTTCATTTTGTGTTGTTCATAAATAATGACTGTATATCAGGATATGAGCTCCTAATTTGTTCCTCTAATTTGTTTTTACTGTATATAATGAGCGCATCATTCATACCTGATAGAAGTCTGAGCCACCATCCAGCATTAATCAGTTGTACCTTCTGCCAAATTGAAACTAGTTAGGGGTTGTAAATAGGGTATCATTTTGCCTCTGTAAAACACTGTAGTGTCTTCCAGTGATTTGTGGAGACCTTTCATTTATTTTGGTATTAGCTAAAGACTAGAAGAAACAATGCATATGCATTGGTGGGTGTGGGGGGGGGGGGGGGGGGGGGGGTGGTC